GGAACATTTTTGGATGGGGGAGTTGCGGACGAGCTGGGCGAGGGGTCACCCAAGCTCGTCTTGACACCTCCTTTCACAGGAGCTGCATGGGTACCATGCTGCTCCTTCGGTAGGGGGACCCTCTCCACCGAGCAGGAGCGAGAAGCTCGCTCCTCCCTCGGAGGGGACCTAGGAGAGGGGGAAGGCGCGGCTGCTGCCGGCCTGTCTTTGGATGGAAGGGCAGCACGCGTGCTACCACCAGGGACTGGGAGAAGCTGCTGCTGCCTATGTTGGGGAGCTGGGGCCCCTGCGGTCGGCCGCCAAGATCTCGGGAGAGACCTGGGTGGCCCTCGACTCCGAGCCTGGTGCTGGGCCCCTGCGCACCACGTCGGCAAAACTCCCCTTTGACACAAAGGAGAGTCGCTTCTTTGCTTCTGAATACGATAGGTTCTCCTTCACTTTAATGGTAAGGACGTCTTTTTCTTGTTTAAACGAGGGACAGGTACGATAGTAAGCGGGGTGTGGTCCACCGCAATTAACACAGTGGGCCACAGCCTCCTCACAAATGTCAGAAACATGGCCCCGACTGCCACACTTTGCACATGTCTCCTTTCCTCGGCAGCTGCGTGCTCCGTGACCAAAACGTTGGCAGCGGAAGCACCGCTGGGGGTTGGGGACGTAAAGGCGAATGCGGCAGTTCAGATATCCTGCCTTGACGGTCTCAGGGAGTATGTGCTTTTCAAAGGTCAGAATAACATGTTTGGAAGGAACCTGTTCACCATTTTTCCAAAACATGATGCGTTTAACAGCAACAACGCCGGAACTTTTGAGTCCCTCGAGGACTTCTTCACCTGTGTCCAAAAAGTCGTCCTCAGAGAGGACTCCACGGATGGTGTTAAGTGTGCGATGAAGACTCACCGACACCTTTACGTCAACAATGGTGGTTAGGTTGAGGAGTGCTTCGCTTTGTTTTTTTTTTGTGTTTGCTTCCACAAGGAGTTCTCCAGAGTACATTTTTTTTTTGCCTTGTAGGAAAACCCTACAAGGTGCTCTAGAACTTTGGCTACAATGAAAGGTGACATCTTTGCAACTGACTTCTGTTCATCAGGAGAGTGAACAACAAAACACTTTGTGAAGGATTCTATCTCAGCATCTTTGTCAATGGTTTTGTGTTGAAGACAACGCCTTTTAAGGGCGTGCCCTGAACGGGGTTTAGAGGGGTGGGGCGCCATAGGAGGGCAAAGAATGTTCAGAATCCTCGGTGCACCGCCCACCACCGAGCCCAACAAGGGGTTAGGTAACGCACCATAACAAGAAGGGCTTGGCTGGAGACGTTACGCTAACAGTGCTGCCGGGAAACTATACCCAAGTGTGGGTCAAGATAGAGGTCCATCACCACCCATGGTTAGCCCTTGCCGCCAAAGAGGGGTGAAAAGGAGTAAGGTAAGTGAGAGAGAAGTAAAAGAACCAGGAAAGGTAAGAGTGAAAGATCGGAGGGGATAGTAGAAGAAAAGGCGACTAGACTGAACATCCTGGCCGGGCCTTACCAGGACTCCGGTCTATGAGAAGCGGGGGCCGAAGTGGTGTATTGCCTCACCCGGGGGGCCCCGAAGGGTCCAAACCTACCCCGGGCTCGGCTCAACCACCAGGATGCCCTTTTCCCGAAACACGGAAAAGCCACGCACAGCCAGACGTGGGCGGGCGAACCCGCATGGCTCGGGGTCCGTGGAGACGCCACTCTCCAAACACCTGCTTTCACAGGTGCCCCCCTGCGGGGTGACGGCTGGGTGATACGGTTGCGTTAGGATTCGCCTTATTCCATTCTGTCGAAGGGAGTTCTTAAGGGTACCATTTACAAATTCCGACCCGTTGTCCGATACAACGAGATTCGATAGTACGTGGCAGGCTAACATCACACGCAGGCAAGCGATCTTGGCTTCTGCCGACGGCGTGGACAAAGGAACGACCTCGATGCATTTTGAGTAGGCGTCGACCACCGTGACTCTATCGGTTCTACATTGGTACAGCAAAGGCGATATGAAGGCGAGACCATGGCTTTTGCAAATGGCCACGGGATCAACGGTGCTGGTCGTGCAAGTCGCTGGTTTTCTTGGCACACCCGTCATCCCCACACTGTAGCCGCAATGTCTTCATCTAATAATGTCCAGCATACATGGCTTCTAGCCACGGTCTTCATTTTAGCGATCCCTGGATGACCTTCATACAAGAGTCGTAAAACGCCTAGTTGCCCTATTGAAAAAAGCTCTGAGGCGGACTTCAATTTTTTTTTAAAATGGTGTGAAGGGGACTTCAGGAATTTCTGAGATGATTGAAGGGGGCAACGATTTTTCCTGGTGGGTTCGTTGGCCCCGAAGGCTCTCCTGAAAGGGACACTGACACCCCCCCAAATTTTTTTTTTTTACTTTTTGCAAGGCGATTTATTATGGTGTCAGATTACTACCCAATTATATTTTTGCTACAGAGTCACGTATTGTTTTAATGGAGCCAAAACACGCAAATGCTCGAAGCCGAGCCCGAAACCCCCGCACCGCACGGAGAACTGGAGAGGAGAGAGTGAGTGGCTGAAGTCACGTGTCTACACCCGACCGCGCGATTGTATTTTTTTTTTTTTCGCAGGCAGCAGACGAAATGCGCTGCAAGATCTGTGCGCCGTGCGATTCCTTTGCAGTTATGTTTGCTCCACTCGCTGTTCTGTACTTCAAAATGAGTTGTTTTGTAAATTTAACTGTTGGAAATTAGTAGTGAGTGCCCGTGCTGGAATTCCCGTGATAGGCTCCGACAATAATACTCCCAAGATGTCGTGTGAAGAGCAGCCCCACATGCCGTGCATCTGGATGTGGCATTATGCGGCAGAGTGCAGAAGTCTCCGAAAGATCAACGGGTCCGGATCAATGGCTGGCTGGAATTACTGTAGAACAGTTATGGGAACCTCGGAAAGCGGACGCTACTCGATTCATATGCTCCTTGCATTTTGTGGAAAGTGACTACATTGAATTCGCAGGTGTCAAAAATAGAATCCCATACCATTTAGTTCACTACCATCTTTTTTCAGTGATAATTGTAAAAAAAGAAATGTAAGCACCGGGAAATGTTTGACAACAAAAAATGGTACGCCCACACTGGGGATTAAACCCGTGCCCGCTGCGTGTGAAGGGGACGTCTTTCCACTGAGTTACTGAAGGAAGTCTTTCGCCCGTAGTGATGCAGCCGGTCGACTGTATTTCGGAAAGTTTGCTGCCGATTTCCATCCAGTACATGGACTCCCGGCTTGAAGTTGGGCAGCACCACGCATTGGCCACGTTCGCACCCAGTAAACAAACCGTACGCGTGCGTATTCAACTCGAAGTATACGCACTTCGTGCTTAACGTTTGAGCGAGCCATGTCTTCAGCCACGAGGACGGAAGACGAATCGGCGGCGTCCTTGTGCAATCGGCTTGCTGGTCGGGCGTGTCGTACATCCCGTACGACACGCCCGACCAGCAAGCCGATTGCACGAAGACGTCGCCGAGCCGTCGTCCGTCCTCGTTCTTTTGGACCGATCAATTCTTTTGATCGGTCCAAAAATTTTCTTTCGAAGGAAGACAAAATTCGCCGGTACCGTGAACGACATTTCTAAAGTAGAGGTCCCACGCCTGTCGTCCGCTGCCATCCGCTAGTCCCCATAATACGCAAAACGATGCCATCAGTGAACGCACAGAATGCTTCCGGTTGCCTGTGCAACTTTTTTATACAATCAACATATTTGCAGCTTTTTGAAAGCCACAAAAATGGGTTTTATATTTTTTTTCTATTTTTTTAATTTTGACGGTGTGCTTTCAATGACCCACGACTTTGATTAAATTTGGTGGTCGTGTCTAAACCTTAGAAAACGACCGTGACCATGGACAAGTGAGTGAGCGCGACTCAAACCGGCCAGTTTTCGATCGGCGGTTTCGGACGGAAAGCAACCGAATTTCGAGCCAAACATTCTCTTCTGGGTAGTTTGGCTTTCGTATGTCACGTACAACTAAAAACCTCCGCGAGCGCAAATACCCTGTCAGTGTCCCTTGAAATATCTGAAGTGCCTTTTACAATGCCTTGAAATGTCTGA